CTTTAGTGTTTAATGTATCAAATCTGTTCTTCAGATGATATCTAAATTCAGGTGGGATATATTCAAGGTCATATTTTTGCTCTCCTGGACTTGTTTACATTTTCTTCAGCTTCAGTTTGAATTTGCATAGGAAGAGTTTGTCTTTTACAGTCTGTATATTTTTTATTTCACAATTGCAAGTCCTGTGTGAGCTCAGAACACTATCCCTTCCAATAATTTTGGGTGATTCTTTTTTCCAGACTCAGATCTTTTTCTTACATGCAAGCTCTGATTAATTAGTACTCTCTGGCTTTTCCACCTGGTAGTCATTCCTTAGGATAGACATAAGACAAAAAAATATATATATCCTCTCTAGAAGGGTATTCTTGAGATGCATATCCTCAGGTCAAGACTGGAGTAGTTGAAGGATGAAATTCACCAGTCATATGCTTATACAGTCTGAGCAACTAGGAGACACTAGGCATCAACTGAAATATATGATGTTATTGTTGTTAAGTGTCATTGAGTTGGTTTTGACCTTACTACCTTGTACAGGGTTTTCTAGGCTGTAAATCTTCATATAAACAGAAAGACTCATCTTTCTCACACAGAGTGAGTGGTGGTTTGCACTTCAGTGCTTATCCTAAAGAGCCATCATGCTCCCAAAATATATGATAGTTCCTCACAAACATCTGTACACAGCAGCAGCTAACAAATTTCACTTTAAAGATCCTTAGGATACTTGTTAAAAAAAAAAATCATCACTCAATTCACAATTAAAAAATTTTAAATAATAATATTCATGAAGTTTAGTAAAATGTTCATTATTGTTGGATTTGAGTGATGGGTACAAGGGATTCATATACTCTTCTACTAATATGTATGTTGGAAACTTTCTTTCTACTAATATGTATGTAGGAAACTTTAGAAATAAAAAGAAAAAAATAAGATTCCCAGGTTCTATGCTAGCTCTGAAGAGGGATCCAAGAATCTGCATTTTCACAAACACCTTGTTCAAGTGGTCTTTGGGCTACATTTTGAGAAACACTGGTACCTTCATTGTTAGAAGATTTATGGTTTTTTCCTTGGTTGTCTTTGTAGTTGCTATTTCCCCAGTGTGTTATTATCTATGAACTTAAGCTGCGATGCTCAAATCAGTGCATATTCCCATTCAGCCCATCAAGCTCTTACCTGGACAGTCTCTGGAAGACAGAAATCTTTGCAACCAAAATGACAAAAACGGAACTCTCCTCCAGTCATATAAGCAAGGTCTTTCAAGAATCCATTTGCAACCTCATCATAGTAATTGAAGGAGATGGTATAAACAGGAATTTTCTGAAAAACTTTGACTTGGTCTATAATCATTTCAGGTGGCTAAAATGATAGATTTTGAGGGGAGGGAGGAGAAAGAGAAGATAAAGGAAAGAATAAGATGTGAAAACCCCTAGTATTTGCTGTAGTGAAATTCTCAACTTGTAATTGTTTATACAGTGAGCAGGTTCTTGTAAAGGAGTAATTCAGTTCAGTAAACAAAGCCAGCACTGCCAGACAGTGAGAGTAAAAGATACGTGGCCTTTGCCCTCTGAGGGCTTATAATTTCGTGGGGGGGGGAAAAACAGAGAAAGATTTGGCTAACCAAATCATTTAATATTGTTAAGTGCTGTTGAACTAATTCCAACTCAGTTCTGACTCGTAGCTACCCTGTATAGGGTTTACAAGAAGCCTCTGGTGAACTTGAACCACCAACCTTGCATTTCAAACCACCTTCCAGTCCAGCGCATTACCCCACAGTGCCACATCATTCAATGTTAGGTGCATCTAAACGTACAGTCCATGATTTTAAAGCATTTGGGCTATGCTTCTGATCACTTGGGTCAGAAGCTGTTGGTAGAACGTTCTAGCCACTGGATTTCCACATGGTAGAGTCTAAAGATGCTTTCGAAAGCATCTTCACCAAATGAGTCATTTCCAGCTTTGGACATGCTGTGGGCAACTTGCTTCCCAGAGAGAGAAGGATGGGACATTTATTAAGGAAATTTCCTCGTGCTTAGGAAATTTTCAGTTAATTTTTGCAACCATTTTGTGAAGTCATTTTTTAAAAGACTCCTAATTGCCTATTTAAGGAGTTCTGGTAGCATAGTGATTGGGAGTCTGGCTGCTAACCTCAAGGTCAGCAGTTCAAAACTACCCTCCATTCCACAGGAGAATGATGAGGTTTTCTGCTCCTGTAAAGATTTACATCCTCGGAAACCCTATGCAGGGTCACTAGGAGTCTGACCCAACTTCACAGCACACCACCACCACCACCACCACCACCACCACCAATTGTCTATTTAATATCCATTCCTCTCCTTTTTAACTATCATAGTCTTGTTTCTTTTCATGGCAGCAGTAGTCTCAGAAAAAAAAAACAACAGAATTCACATTAGTAATAATAATACACACACACAAACCCACCTTCCCTTTCTGCAGCTAGGGGGGGTCATGTGACCCAGTTGTGAACAATGAGGTAAAGTCTGGAGTCCCAGGGGAGGCTTCTCTTTCTCCAACAAAAAGACCAAGACTTACAAGCAAAAGGCGAATGTCCTTCTTCTTTTCTCTCCCTAGAACATGGGCACTCTGCCTAGTGGTGGAGCAGTCATCTTGTACTATGGGGGTGGAAGTCATATACAAAGATGGTAGAGCATAAAGATTAAAGGAAACTTTGAGATAAAGCACTGGACTGCAAGGCCGGTTTGAACCACAAAATTGATGGTTCACACTCACCAACTGTACCTTGGAAACCCTATACAGGGTCACTATGAGTCAGAACCAACTTGATGGCACTAAACAACAACTTATCACTGGATTTCTTGTTCATATTAATATAAACCCCATACTTGTTTCAGCCATCTGGTCTCCTTTTTTACAACAATGTAGTTGTTAAGTGCTGTTAAGTGAGTTCTGACTCAATGCTATTGTGTATAGAGTTTCCAAGGAGTAGTCGGTAGATTTGAACCACCAACCTTGAGATTAGCAGTCCAGTGCTTATCTTATAGCACTACACCAGGACACCAAGACTGCAATTTCAATAACATACAGCCCTGACTGGCCCACTAGGTATGGGATCCATTTAAAGATGGAGAAATTAAGGCTTAGAAAAATGAATGATGTGGATTGAATTGTATCCACTCAAATGATATGCTGAAATTCTAACCCCTGTACCTGTTTGGGGAAACAGATTTTCTTAGCAATTTTTTTTTTTTTCTTAAGTGCTGTCAAGTCAGGCTTCCAAACAGATTAGAGACTTGGAAATTTTATGAGGGCAGTTCTCTGCCCTAGAGAGTTGCTGTAAATTGGAATAAACTAGATGGAAATGGGGTTTTTTGGTTTTGGTGTTGACGTAATTGAACCCAAATTTCTTCAGGTAAAAATTTCTGCTGAATATTTGGAATAACATTGGCCTTACACATTAAAGTTCAATGTTGTTGTTAAGTGCCATTAAGTCAGTTCTGACCAATAGAGACCCTGTATAGGGTTTCCAAGGAGCAATTGGTGAGCTTGAATCACTGGCCTTAAGGCTCAAACCGACTTTGCAGTCCAACATTTGGTTCTGACTCATAATAGCTATATGTACAACAGAACAAAACACTGCCCAAGCCTGCCTGCGCCATCCTCACATTGTTATGTTTGAGACCATTTTGTGGCCACTGTGTCAATTCATCTCATTGGGAGCTTGTTCTTTTTCACTGAGCCTCCACTTTACCAAGCATGATGTCCTTCAGGGATCTGGTCCTTCTGATAACAGGTCCAAAGTATGTGAGACAAAGTCTCATCACCCTTGCTCCTAAGGAGCATTCTAACTATATTTCTTCCAACACAGATATGTTTGTTCTTCTGGTAGTCCATGATACTTTCAGAATTTTCCTCTAACACTATATATAAATCAAACGCACCAATTCTATGGTCTTCCTTATTCACTGTCCAACTTTCACATACATAGGAAGTATTGAAAATACCACGGCTTTGGTCAGGCTCACCTTAGTGTTCAAAGTTCCATCTTGGCTCTTGAACACTTTAAAGGCATCTTGTGCAGCAAATGTACCTAATGGAAAACATCTGTTTTCTTGACTACTGCTTCCATCAGTGCTAATTGAGGATACAGGCAAAAATGAAGTCTTTGACAACTTCAGTCTTTCTGTTTATCATGATGTCATTTATTGGTCCAGCTGTGAGAATTTTCATTTTCTTTACATTTGAGATGTTATCCATACTGAAGGCTACAGTCTTTGATCTTCATCAGTAAGTCCTCATCGCTTTCGGCAAGCAAGTTTGTGTCATCTGCATATCACAGGTTGTTACTGAGTCTTCCTCCTATTCTAAAGCCCCATTCTTCTTCATATAAGCTATCTTCTCAGATTATTTGCTTAGCATATAGATTGAATAAGTATGGTAAAAAGGATACAACCCTGGAGCACACTTTTCCTGATTTTAAACCATTCAATAGCCCCTTGCTTTGTCCTAATAAATACCTCTCGGTCTATGTACAGGTTCCTCGTAAGCACAATGAAGTGTTCTGGAATACCCATTCTTGACAATGTTATCCATAGTTTTTTTTTTTTATCCACACAGTCAAATAAATGTCTTTGCATAGTCAATAAAGCAAAATACAAGTAAACATCTTTGTGGTATTCTCTGCTTTAAGCTAAGATCCATCTGACACCAGCAATGATATTTCTCATTCCTTTCCTTTTCAAAATCCAGTTTGAATTTCTGGCAGTTCCCTGTTGATGTACAGCAGCTACCATTTTTCATTTACCTTCAGCAAAAGTTTACTTGCATGTGATATTAATGATATTGTTCAATGGTTTCCACATTTCACTAGACACCTCTCTTTGGAGTGGGCACAAATATAGAGCTCTTCCAATTGGTTGTTCAAGCATGTCTTCCAAATTTCTTGGTATAGTGAATGAGTGGCTCCAGTGTTGCATCAGTTAGTTGAAAGATTTCAACTTGTATTCCATCAATTCCTGGAGCCTTGTTCTTTGCCAGTGTCTTTGGTGCAGCTTGGACTTCTTCCTTCAGTACCATTGGTTCTTGATCATATGCTACCTTTTGAAATGACTGAACATTGATCAATTCTTCTGGTACAGTGAATTTGTGTATTTCATTCATCTTCTTTCTGAATCACTGACTACTTTGCCCACAGAATCCTTCCATATTTCAAGTTAAGTCTTCAATTTTTTTCTTAATTTTTTTCAGCTTAAGAAATGCCCAGGCTTTTCACATTTCATTACTATACTTGACTTTGTCTTCTTGAGCTGCCCTCTGAAATTTTCTGTTCAGCTCTTTTACTTCATCATTTCTTCCAGTCACTTTAGTTTCTCAATGCTCAAGAGCCATTTCAAAGCCTCTTCTGGCATCTATTTTGGTCGTTTCTTTGATTCCTGTCTTTTAAATGACCTTATACTTTCTTCATGTACGATGTTCTTGATGTCATACCCCAACTCTTCTGGTCTTCAGTCACTAGTTTCTAATATATCAAATCTGTTTTCAATCTAGCCCAACCTATCTTTCTGACCTCAGCCCTGACACTAGTCCTTGATTAGTTCTGCTCTTAGATTGTTTCTTTGAACACCTAATATTGTCACATGTCTATGAAGCTGTGAGTTAATGTGCTGGTGTGGTGCTGTGGGTTAATGCGCCAGATGCTAGAAGCGTTTGAACTGCAAGGTCGGCAGTTCAAGCTTACCAGCTGCTCCTCAGAAACCCTATACAGGTCGCGACTCAATGGCACTTCACAACACAACAACATGAAGCTGTGAGTTCATGTGCTGGACTGCAAAGTCAGTTTGAACCACAAGGTCAGTGGTTCAAGCTCATCAGATGCTTCTTGTAAACCCTATGCAGGGTTGCTATGGGTCAGAAGCAACTCTACGGCATGTAACAACAACAACAATTCTTCCTGTCTAGTGCGGTGCTGTGAGTTAATGCGCTGGACTGCTTAGACGGTTCCTTCTTCTCTTTCCAGACACAGCTGAAATATTCGTGCCATAGTTAAAACTTCTCTGCTCTTCTCGTCATCTTTTACAGAGAAATGTATTTCCCTGTGCTCCCATACATCTTATACTGCAGACAACCTCATTCCTCATAGTGTATCAGAGTTAACTATATATGGTCGCTAGATTCCCCAAAGTGTAACTTTTCCTGTGACTAGGATGAGACATTATTCATCTTAGCAGCTTAAAACTTTGGCACTATGCATGGACCATAAGACAGAGGCATTAAATTGCTTCTGAACAGAAAGCATTGTAAAATTGACAGGAAAATCATTCAAAATAAAATTTCACTATGCACACAACTTTTCTCTCATAATCTAATATTGCCATAAAATCTGAATGCTTTACTATTTAAGCCCTGAATCATTCAACCCAGGAAATTTAAAAATATTTGTCTGCATATGTAAGCATCTTGCAGTGTAAGATACAAGTTGATACTAATTTATTCTGAAGATTAGTTTACATTGTGCTGGCCTGAAAATCCATATACCTATTTAATGTCTGGCACATTGGTCTTTTATTCATAAAGCTTAAAAGAAGATGAACAGACTCCTCTAAAACTTTCCAAATATTTTCTAGCCAGCCTAAAGCCAAGGAACATTTCACTAGAAAGGCATGCTTTTGTTTACATGATTAGTAAGTAAATTAAAATTAAGGAGAAAGCCAAGGACATTGTGCAGTGACATATTTAGATTCAGAGTCCCAAAAGGGGGGGGGGGGATCAAAAGAATCTTGTCACTCTTTTTTGTATAAAATGTAAACCAGTCTTCAATGGAAGGCAGCCCTCTCCTTTCAAAGGGTGTGTGTCACATTACCCAGACAGCATTCTCTGTCTTATAAATTTTCCTCAGTGTTTTGAGTAGACAAAGGAATTCCTCAGTGCATTCTCTCTCTTCAGTTCTGGTCTCTAAGCCAATGAAGTATCTTTCAACAGCTCTTCAATGGCATTTGAAAAAGTCCCCCAAACACATTTTCAGCATTCACTTTCATAGCATTGGTGAGTCTCTCTGTGTTCTCAACTTTGACAAATACCTGATCAGGTCTCCCATCTGTTAAGAGGTAGATTACTTGTGTTTCTTCATCAGCAAAAGCAATTTGCAGGGCATGTAGAATGTTTGTGGAACTTCCAACCTACAGGAGAGAGGGAGAGAGACAGTGAATTACTCTAAATTTCACATGTAGAACTCTCAGTTCCTCAATGTACTCCACGTTTGCCAAACAAGGGAAACTGGAGTCTGAATAAGTCTGGGCCCCATAGTTCTGCATGGAGCTGATTCTGGAGAGAAATGAATGCAGAAAGCCCCCACCAAGAGCTGAGAGGCTACTGGCCCACCAGAACTAGTTGAGGGGAAGGGATACAGGCTCTCAGGAGCTAATGTTCTGCTGGTAGCTCACCATAAGATACTAAGCACTCACTTGAATCTCAAAAATAGAACTAAATGACAAGTGGTATTTGTTTACAGCATCCAAAATTCAAAAGATGGTAAAGTAGTTGTAAAATAAAATAATAATATTGAGATCATTACTTAAGTCAAAGTAACAGAAGAAGCCAGTTCCCCAGGTGTGCCATAAAAGCTTCTAACTAGACAATCCAGAGACAGCTAGAAGACAGGACTACAGATTTTTGTCTTGACAATCTAGCTTATTTTTTAAATTTATTTTAGGAGAACAAACATGATGGCGGATTGGGTGGAAGTGTAGTGAAGAGGTCCGCCAGCAACAATACAGAATACCGGACCAAGCAGGTTCAGGGGCTTATCCCAGAACTCTGAACCACATATAAAGGAATATTTAGAAGGTTGGAAGACTTACAGCTGGGGGAATTTGTGGCAGAAGCAAGAATTCCATTGCTTTCTAATTCGAGACACTCAGCTGCTCCAGGAGTCGCCATCTTGGGTGAGACCAAGCGGGGGAAGGATCGGAGGGGCCACAAATGCCTGGCAGAACCGCGGAC